GCCCTGCATACGGATCCTATATTAATATATGATAAAGATTATTACTAAACCAACCTTTTTTTAATTAGTAATCCAGCAGAAACTTGTTTATAAAAAAACAATAAAGGAATATATCGATTTACTTAATAGCTAACGTATAGCAACATATTTATTTCAGCATACATCCAATCCATATTTATACTAATTTTATAAAATGTCCGGAATACATTTAGCCTTAACTTGGCGTTAAATTATTAGTTTTATTTCATTAATTTTTGTATAGATCAGGTTAATAATAAAAGCAATTGGATTTTACTCAATATTTTTGAAGTAATTATTCAGCTTTAATAAAATTGATAAAACCATATAAGACAGTTAAAAAATTTATTTAAACTTTTGTTCACTTTTTGAAAATCCGTAAAAAAGCAAGTCTCAAGTTTACATATCTTTAAAAGAAATTTATTTACATGATATATAGTTAAATATGTAACAAAAATATTTTAAAACAAAAGCATATATAAAACACATTTTTCTTAAAAAAACAAATTTGAAGCCACCATTTACAGCACCGAGGAGCCAAGCATAGTCTATTGTAAAGAAAACCATATCAAATAATTTAAAATATTTATTACCGATAGGGACGACAATTAAACATATTTAAAAAGCTACGTGATTCCATATTAGTAGAATTAGTATAGAAAAGTATATTAAAAAAGTATATTTAAAAAAAAGTGTATTAAATAGAAAACAGATTTTTAAAAACTACCTAATTTTGTAAGCATTTTGCCAATGATGTTCAATTTTAAAACCAATATCTTTAATGAAAAGCCGACTTGTTTCACTAAAATCATTCAAAGAATTTAATTATTAACACTTAAAGATAAAGAAAAAAAAAATGAATGAGATATAAACAATCGTACTATAGTATTATAAATATTTCATATTATATATGAAAAAAAAAACAACAACTGGAAAACAGTATACCTGCTTTTGGTAACCTATTGTGATACTGCAGCAGTTGCTGTAGGGATGCAGCTGTTCTTTTTAGTGTTGTTCAAAAACGTAATTTTTATGTTGGCTTTTAGTAAACTTTAGTTTAATTTAAAAGACATCACAACGGATTTAAAATATTCTTAATAAAAAGAGCAAAACATAAAATGCTTTAAGGAGTCAAACTATAAACATAAAAGATAAAGAATCGAATCGAGATAAATAAATTGTATTTATATAGCTAAATATATTGCCTTGGGTTTTGGTAAATTTTAAAAGCAGTGAGTTCAATAAATGAAACTACCAAATAATTGTTTTTAAGAAAAGTATGCAGCATCTTTATATTATGATAATTGGATAATGAATCAATTCAACTATATTTTGAAGTTCAGGTTTAATTGGTGAGAAAACAATTAAAATTTTCATTAAAAACGATCAAAACAAATCAAATATACAACATAATATATATTTAAAAAAAAATTACAAAATTAGAATTAAAAAAAATTACAAAAGAAGAAAAATTTCTTCATCTTCTACTTCAGCCATGTTTTTAAATGCAAGAGCAAATGGATATTCTAAAATTTAGAAAGTCCATTCTAAAATTTAGTGCAGTTAGTGGATCATAAATATGTAGTTAAGAATATATTGGTGGAATATCTTGATCTGGCCTAAGATTACCTACACAATGAAAAATCTGGCCACATATTTTAAAATATGGAAGCCCATGATTCATTGGTTGAACTACATTTGCTGTAAAAGAAGCGAAAGAAAGACAGGCATTATAATTTCGAATATGTTTTAAAAAATTACCTTTAGCATTACGACATAACTCCCTGTAAACAAATCCTGTAAAGCTTGTGTAATTGGTGAAAGTGGAGGCAAAGCTACCTTACCATTCTGGCAACATAGAAAATGTGTTTCATCTGGAAATTTCTCAGCACCACAGTGCTGACAAATTTGATTCATTTCTCCTTAATAATTATAATCTGGAATAGCATTACTTCTCGCTATAGAATACATTCGTCCTTGTCCAAGAGCTCTTCTTTCATTTTGGCGACGATTAACATTATCTCGATCGAGCTTATTTCTTTCATTTTGGCGGCGATTAACATTATCTCGATCGAGCCTATTTCTTTTGTTTTGGCAACAATTAACGTTCTCTCGATTAAGCCTATTTCTTTCATTTTGTAAATGATTAATTTCATCTTGCCTAAGTCTATTTCTTTCATTTTGTCTACGACTATTTTCAACACGCCTTATAGCACTTACATCATTTTGTAAATACATAACTTCATCTAGCCTATTATTAATTTCAGTGTCATCATTTTGATTAAACATATTTATCAAAGCAACACTAATTATTTCTTTTTTTTACTACTCTAAAGTTAACAATAAAATAAAAAAACTTAATAAATAACCAAAAAAATCTTACTCAAAAAATAAAAAAAATAAATTCTCAAAACAAATATATAAAGAATCCAAACTAATGCAATATAAAATTAATTTGCCATCGTCAAAAGTAATACAGGTTTCTTAAGTTTATTTGATAGAAGTTAAGAAAAACCTGCAACCATATTAGCAAAAACTTATTAAAAAAAGTTATAATATATTCTGTTTCTAATTAAGAAAAAATTTTTTAGAAACAAACAACATATCTTTGCAGACAGCGTCATAAGGCATGCGTTGGGAAAAAACATTGAACAAAACGGGTAATAAAACTTATTAATGCGTTATGTACGATAGAAAACAGGTTATTAACGCAGGTTTATAAATTTTTTTCCCCCCCACCCCCCTATTACCCTGCCGCAACTCAAAGGATATACATAGTTATATATATATATATATATATATATATATATATATATATATATATATATATATATATATATATATATATATATAGAGAGAGAGAGAGAGAGAGAGAGAGATATATATATATATATATATATATATATATATAGAGAGAGAGAGAGAGAGAGAACATATATATAGAACACTTATATATATATATATATATATATATATAGAACTATTTATTAGCGAAAACATGAAAACCAAAATTTTTTAAATAATATATATAGTATATTTGATAAATAAACCTCTACAATTTCTTTGGTTCAACAACTTGATTCTGATTAATAACAACTCTGTAAACATAATATTTCTAATGATCTAAATTTTTATAAATTAGATATTTTATTTTATATCTTAATTATAAATTAAATAAATTATATTTATCTTAACTATAAATTAAATCTTTATAAATTAGATATAAATAGAAAAACAAACATATAATAACACAATTATATCCTAAACCAAAATTCAATCATGCAAGGCAAATTATTAAATTTTTTGAAAAGAAAAAAAACATATTTTTTTTCAAAGAGCCAAAGTATTAACAATACTATAGATAAATTTTATAACAAAATGTTGTCATTTCAAATGTTGGCTTTTATCCCAATTATTAAAAGCATTTGAAAGCATGAAACTACCCATAAATATCTTTTAATGGTAGACACCATCTAAGAGTTATAGTAATCTATATTTTCAGTATTAACATGTATAACACGAAGCTTTAAATTTAAAAGTACAATTTAAAAAAGATTACAATAAACTAATTACTTATAAAATTTTAAAAAGATTTTATATATACTCAATGTCTACTTAGACATTTTGAAAAGATTACGATTTTGAAAACTTGAAACTTTAAATTTAAATTTTGAAAAACTGAAACTTTAATTCTACCTCAAAGAAAACAGATATATATTGAAAAGTATTTTCATTTCTTTATAAAAATTAAAAAAATCCTTTTAAACTTAATCCCTCCAATATTATTATATAATATATATAGTATATATGATAAATAAACCTTCACAATTTCCTTTGTTTAACAACTCGATTATGATTAATAACAACTCTGTAAACATGAATTTTCTAATAACCTAAATAAATTATAAACAATTAAACTTAAATAAAAGTGTATGCAAATGATAAATGCTATATTAAATACAGAGAGACAAACATAAAACAACACAATTAAATCCTAAACCAAAATTCATTTATGCAAGACAAATTATTATACATTTATTGAAGAGCCAGAAACATATTTTTTTTTAAAGAGCAAAAGTATTAACAATACTAAAGATAAATTTTATTTATAACAAAATTTTCAATAAAAATTAAATTAAGATAAATTTATAACAAAATGTTGTCATGGCTTTTATCCCACTAACCAAAACTATGTGAAAGCATGAAACTACCCATAAATATATTTTAACGCTAGACACAATCTAAGAATTAAAGTAATCTATAACACAAAGCTTTAAATTTATAAGTACAATTTAAAAAAATGTTTTGCAAACATGTTAGAAGTTCATTTTCTTTAGTACATTTATACAAAATGGTATCACACTTGCTCATAAAAATTAAGCTCTGCCTTTCTTTCTAATCAAATTTTATGACTGCTTGAAAATGCTACAATTAAACATGAAAAACTATGAAAAATAATTTTATGTGAAATTTATGACACTTCAAACCACAATAGCTTTTTGGTTTATGGTTTTGATTTAAGTTTCTTTTTTTCTTTTTTTTTTTTTTTAATGATTTTAAAGCATCTTTAAATTTTTTTTGAAAATCCAAAAACTCAACTATTTAAAGTTGCTGATTTGAGCATTTTAATGCGTAACTAACTTATGTCTTAACAATAGAGTTGCACAATAGATGTTTCAACTGACCTCAGTTGAATAAAAAAAACTCATGTTTCAAGATAACTCATGATCTTAACAACTAAAAATCGTGGTGGTAGTCATCTCAAGTATAAAAAAATGTATATTGATAAATAATAAATATATTGTCATTTTTCTGTCAAAAATTTTTTTGTTTTACTTCACATGATATGTAACATAAATATTTTCGACAAGAAAGTTTTTTTTAAAAAACTTTCTAAAAAGAAAGTTTGAAAAATAATTTTGAAATTTTTTTTTTCAATTAATAATGTAATAAAATAAAAAATTTTTGTTTACATTATTCAGAGATTACGAATTCGCTACTACGAAGAAGGTGGTTACGCAACTAATTCTGTTGAAGAAGATGGTAATAACTAAATTTATTTTGCGTAAATATGTTCAAAAGCGCATTAAATTGTATTTTAATTATTTCATTTCTATTTCTAAGTACTGTTTTATATATATATATATATATATATATATATATATATATATATATATATATATATATATTTATATATATACTTTACTCCAAACCAAAGTTGCAGACAAATACTATTTATGATGGAAGTCATGATAAAAAGTAAAAAAATAATAACAAAGAAAAAGTGTTAATTGATGGAAAACTTAAAAACTTGGTTAAAAGTATGCAGTAGTAAATTTATATGTGGTAAAAAGTACCACATATAAATTTACTACTGCATACTTTTAAACCAGGCTATGGCCAGTGTTTTTGAGTACTTTTTACAGTTTTAAGTGTCTACTAATTTTTTGAAAACATGGAAAATGAATAAGATTCCTAAAGCAAATAAAAATGTTTTGTTTTAATTTTTTTCTTAGATTTATTCATACTAATTGGCCAAATTAATGTGAAATTAAAGACTTTGCCTATGGCTATTTTGTTGCAGATTTTAATGCTTTAATCTGGCAACCTTATTCTACTGTCATAATAAGGAACATAATAAAGAACTACACACATAGCTATACATACATACATACATACATACATACATACATACATACATACATACATACATACATATTTTTTACATACACATATACATACATACAAACATACATACATACATACATACAAACATACATACAAACATATATACATGCATACATACATTTTTATATGCGTGTTTTTTCATTCTTATATGCGTATTTATTTACTCTTATATGCGTGTTTATTCATTCTTATATGCGTATTTATTCATTCTTATATGCCTTTTATTCATTCTTATATGTATTTTAAAAAAGCACAGTTTTTTCAAAACAAATTGTTCTTGTTTCCTGGTTAACGAGGCTAAAAATACTTCTCATCTAAAAATGAATAGAAGTTAATGAAATTTTAAATGAAAAACTTATTTATTCAAAGAAACTTGACTTAATGTGCATACCAACAGTGCATATGGTTATTTGCTAAGAAGTGCGCCAGCAATTTTAAAGTTGTCTGCAAATCGTGGCAAAAATGTTAGTTTGATTTTTTCTTTTTTAACAATTGAAGTGCTGGCTTATAAATAAAAACTGGAGGCTGGAATGCAGATTCATTTTGTACTTTCATTACTACAATGTTGGTACCAGCGATTAGGAATGCAGATGTGGAAGCATCGGAGCATGTTATGGACAATTGTAAATTCCACTGGAGTCTTTCTGTTAGGCAAACACTAGTCTTTCATGGCATAGCTGTTAAGTATCTGCTAGCATACACGCAACAGCTTAATCCAATAGAAGAATATTTTTCTTTTTTAAAGCATACTTACAAACAGGGTGAAAAGACTTTAAATATGGATAATCAGGAAACTTTAAAATATTATGGATACAACAGAGTTTAATTTAATTCCATTTTACAACCAAATTGGTAGTTACATAAATCCAGCGCTGGCTCGGCAACCATTTTTAAAATAAATAGCAGTGGCAACAACCTAATTTATATTTTGAATATATCTATATAAAAACATAAAAGCCTATTTATTGTTTACATAAAGTTATATGAGAGATTTTATAAGTAGTTGACTTGCATATAAGAATGAATAAACTTACATATAAGAATAAATAAATATGCATACAAGAATGAATAAATATGCATATAAAAATGAATAGACACACATAAAAATGGATAAACACGCATATAAAAATAAATAGACGCGCATATAAGAATGAATAATCCTGTAATTAAAGTGTTATATACAATTCTTATGCATTGTTATTTTGTAGACAAAATAAAAGCTGGAGTTTGTCTTTACAGACATAAAAAAAAATTTTGAAGACATTTGATTGCTTCTTCTGCACACTGATTTGTTCTAGAAATTTGGAGGCTCAATGGTTTTTTTCACATTTGGTCACCAATGGTCTTCCCATTTGTAACAGATAAATTTACAAATGTCAAGTTGAGTCTTAAGAAGAATAAATGGAAAAAGGGCTAGTATTGCTCAGGAATCCCATCTTGATTTATTTATTTTAGGTATTTTCTGAAACTTTACTTTAGGAAATATTTCAGATTCTTTAAAAAAGAATGACTGAATGTTTACCTATTCTTTAAATTCTTGCTGTTCTATTCGTAGGTCTTTACAAGTTCCGAGATAAACGGGTATTTGATATTGGGTGACATATTGTTTTCTCCAAGTTCTTCATCCATTAATGTGTCAAGGACTCAGTCAAGAACATGATGGTGATAACCAGTTAATTATGGTTCTTCCAGTTTCTTTTCAGTAAAATGTCTTTGTAACTGACAATCTCATTCCTCGTTCCAGTGTTTACATTTGTAGTGTCTGCTACAACCATCTTTCATAAAATGTATTCAATAGCTGTAATACCTTTATCAACAGTATCTACTTTTTTGTCTGGTAGGTCTAGTGGTTGTAACTTAATTTTTTTTTTGTTTATTCTTTAACGCTGACACTTGATATTCATAATGGCTAATACGTTTACCATGCAGTGACCAACTTATAAAAAATAGTGTTTTCTTCTTTCTTCTTTAAGTTTAACAGCTCCTTTAATAGTTGATCTGAATATACCAGACTGTAAATGTGTCTGAATGTTGATCCCATCATAAGATAACTGTCGTCAAATGGTTGCTGCTTTGCTGGTTGATACCTTTGAAGATGTTACTAATTTGGTTGCAGTTTTGTTTTTGCTGTAATTCTTGCTGGTACTTATGGACTGCTCTTCTGAATCTTCAGACACTGATATTCTGTATCATACTTGAATCAGGAAGTTGATGTTATTTCCATGGCCCCCACATTTTAAAACAGGGCCCTATGCTGGAACTGTCTGAGGACCCTTTTTTTTTTAGCATGAAAATTTTTTATACCGCAAAATATTTTTTTGAAATTATATATTCTTGGCAAATTTTTTTGCAAAGAAAAATATATATTTTTTGACAAATAAAATAATGAAGTTATTAATTAACACCTGTAATTAAAACGATTAAAATGACCTGATTACTTTCAATCGAATAAGATGTTTTATAATTGGTACTAAATTTGTATTTGTTAAAAAAAGTATTTTATTAACAGATCGTTTAAAAGTGTTATTTTAAAAAAGAAATTATATTGACAATGAACCATTAGCTATTTTTAATATACTTGGCCTGTTTATTCCATAAAAACTAAAAAAAAAAAAATAAGATCTATAAAAATACTGTCTTGATGACAGTAAAAGACACTTTTACTGAAATATAATTTGACAGAAATATAATTTGACAGTAAAAGACACTTTTACTTTTACACAAGACAAGTCTTAATAATAAAATTAAAGAAAAGTTTTCAAGATTTATTTGAAATACAAATATTATCTTTATTGACATTTTTGGGTTTTTTCCAAAGTAAACTTTTCAATGACATCACTAAAATCAACTTGTTTTTGCTAAAATATTTTCAATATATAATATGGCAAGATGATTAAAATGATCTTGACAGGTTGTGCTTTTTTGCCATGTTTCAATTTATTTGCCAGTTTGCTAAATGATCTTTCTGCTGATGATTCAGTTACTGGAATCGTACAAAACAGTTTAATTGCCAGACAGATGATGGTAATTCGCCTTGAAGTTGTTTGTCATAAATTGAATTCAGAAGACAAAGTGGACAAATATAAATTATTTTTACTATAAATGTTATCATAATAAAAAGAATAATTTTGAAAAGTTTTTTTGAATGAACAAGTTAATGGTTTTGTTCAGTTAGTAGCATAGTGGTAGTTGTTATATAACTGTTTAAATTTTTTTTAGAGGTCATTGCTGATTGGGTTGCAATGAAAGAAAAAGAGTCTTTAAATGAAGAAAATAAAATCAAATTTGAGTAAGATTATTGATTTTTGAGTAAGATTACTGATTTTTGGATAAGATTACTGATTTTTGAATAAGATTACTGATTTTTGAGTAAGATTACTGATTTTTGAGTAAGATTACTGATTTTTGAGTAAGATTACTGATTTTTGAATAAGACTACTGATTTTTGAGTAAGATTACTGATTTTTGAATAAGATTACTGATTTTTTGAATAAGATTACTGATTTTTGAGTAAGATTACTGATTTTTGGATAAGATTACTGATTTTTGAATAAGATTACTGATTTTTGAATAAGATTACTGATTTTTGAGTAAGATTACTGATTTTTGAGTAAGATTACTGATTTTTGAATAAGACTACTGATTTTTGAGTAAGATTACTGATTTTTGAATAAGATTACTGATTTTTGAGTAAGATTACTGATTTTTGAATAAGACTACTGATTTTTGAGTAAGATTACTGATTTTTGAATAAGATTACTGATTTTTGAGTAAGATTACTGATTTTTTGAGTAAGATTACTGATTTTTTGAGTAAGATTACTGATTTTTTGAATAAGATTACTGATTTTTGAGTAAGATTACTGATTTTTTGAATAAGATTACTGATTTTTTGAATAAAATTACTGATTTTTGAATAAGATTACTGATTTTTTGATTTAGTGATTTTTTTTAATCACTAAAACAAGAACACAGCAAACATATTTTTTTTTTCATATATATTTATGTCTGATTGTTTTATTCTTTGAGCCTTTTTTCAATATTTCTCTCCTAATTCATATTATGTCTTCTTTTTTATCAGGAAGCCATCAGGTTTCCTGATAAACCTATAAATGGAGAAGCAAGTTGTTAAAGAAAAAAATTAGAAATGTGTTTTTACTAATTTATTATTGGTCTGTTTTTTAAGAATATTGAGCACTCCATTTGTAGAATACATTAACATTAAATATATATATATATATATATATATATATATATATATATATATATATATATATATATATATATATATATATATATATATATATATATATATATATATTATGTCTTCTTGTAGTTGTTTTGATATGATTGATAGGGTTGTAAAAATTTATTTTATCAAATCCTTTGGATATTTTAATTGTTAGAATAAGATCTTATCTTTTTCTTCTATTTTCTATTGTTTCAACTTTTAGATAATTAATCCTTTTTTCATGCGGTAAACCCTTTAAATTCTCTATTTTTGTTGCTTTATGTTGTATTTTTTTTTTTTTTTTTTTTGTATTAATTTCATCTTTTCTAAAAGGGTTCCATTTTACTGCACCATATTCAAGCTGAGGTCATACTAATGTTTTATATAAAAGTTTTCCTGATGTTACATTTAAATATTTAAAATAGTGTTTAATCAATTCAAGTTGTTTATTCACTTAATTTGTGATGTTGAGATGTGACACTGTTCCCCATTTTGACCGCCAGGATAAAAGTTGTGTCACTCAAACAAATTATGGTTTAATATAACACTTAGGGCCATAGAAGTTGTTTCCAATTGTTTTTAAAATTAAAATGACCGTGGCACAGAGCTTTTTTTAATTTTTCTTGGCTATTTTAAAGGACTGAAATAGAAGTCAGAAATAGGAGCTACACTAGTCTGCATAAGGGTGGGGGCAACCAACCATCAGAGTTATTTTAGGAAAAATAAACTATAGTTGGTTGCCTTTTTAACTATGCATCAAAAGTGGGAGGATCAATAAGTCTACCACCATTTTCAGAGCTGAAAACACCATTAAAAAAATATATCAGATTTTATTTCTTCATTGATTTAATTGTCATTTTTTTACCAAGTAATAATATAGTCAAACAATAAATATAAAGAAAAAAAACACGCACATTAGGTTATTCTACTTCCTCCAAAATGTTTAACAGCTGCTAAAAGTTTATCGCTGTGCTATGAATGTCCTTCACTTCTTTTATATCTAGACCAGGTTGGTTTAAACTTTGCATGTATTGCTTCACCGCATTGTTTAGCATATCTTCTTAAACTGCATCTATGATACTTGACAAATGGAGCTACATGGCACAAAATAATATGAACTTTCCAAGTCAAAGCTAGCTCTTGTGTAGAGATAAACGAGTCCTTTAACTTGGAATTAGATTCTTCAAATCCAGTTTCTAAAGTATTACCAAAACAAGCATCTTTAACAGATCTGAAGTTTTTAAGACACTCAACAAAGGGAGTGAGATGATAATAAGTGCTTTTAATGGCAACCTCTAATTTATCAAGATTTTTAATGATAGCATTTGATTTGTTGCCATCCCAACCTCTACCTTGGTAACCTTTTTGAAGAATATTTTTTGATTTCAACCAGTCATCAAAACCAGGGCATAGATCTAATAAAAGAGTTCTTAGTAATGAAAAAAATTCTATTATAAGGTGGAGTTCTGGTGGAGCTACAAGGTACTGTATTAAAGATTTAGGATCTTCTAAGTAGAAGAAGATCCTAAATCCTAAACTCTGGGATTTATTACATTCTTACAATCTTTCATAAGAGCTTTGTTAAATCCAGTCTCAGCATATTTTGAGTACCAATAATCCAAGCTTTCCAGAGATCTCAATTTTCCTGACTCTGTTGTTGAGAGTCCCTCACACCAAAGACATGCTCTCAAACCAGCATGAGATGATAAACCAAATACTGAATTAGCACATTTTAAATCAAAAGCTATATTGAATTAAACATTCTGCAAGTTTAGTTTTTCTAGAACAAGTTGTAAATTGTAATTTAATTCTGGAACATCCTCTGTGATTCCAAGTATCTGGCATCTTTGAACTCCACTGTTTAAAAACCTTCCAGAGTTTACACTATTCTCTTCAGGATCAAATATATTTACAATAAACTTTTAAGAATAAACCCCCTGAGTCTAAAGAAATTTGTACAAGAGTACTAAATGGATCTATTTTCCTCTGTTTAATTATATTTAAAATAAAATTTGATGTTTCTTGGACAAATACAACATCTCTACCAAGAACTCAATATAAATAACAAATGTTATTTTAAAGAAATATTATTGGTATTTTGTAATTAGTCAATACTTATATACTTCCTTACCTTTTCAACTTCATAAGATTTTGAGAAGGATTCTTCTGATAGATCGTCTAGCAGTTTTGTTTTCAGGTGTACTAACCTTTACAGTTAGTAGTTTTCCTCTTGTTGATATATAAAAGTTGGATCCATTTGCTATTTTGTCAGCTTAAAAACTAATATTATTCAAAAAAAAAATTGCTATAAATATAGATTAAATTAGAAAAAATGGAAACAGAATAAAAATTCTAAGAATAGGTATTACAAATATACCTATTATAAATATAATTATAATTATATATAATATAGTTTTATCTTACCTTAGATATTTTTTCTTCCCACGCCATTCTTGGATTTTTTCCAGTCTTGAGCAAATACAGATTCCTACGACAATTTAAACATATATTTGTTGGAAAATCTTCTATTACTTTCGAATATCCATGAAATACATATAGTTTCATTAACTCTTCCACTGTGTTATTTACATAAGCTAGATATTTTGAATTTATTCCAAATTGCTCCTAACAACAACAACAAACCTGTTGTAGACACACTGATGGAGTTGACATTGATATAAATATATTAAGTAGATGTTTTTTATATCTAAAGATTTATTTTGAATTAAATAAGAATAGCATTTTTTATAAGGATATATAATGATAGCCATGAATTGCATATAATATATAGCATATGTATAATGTATTATATATACTTAAATTAAAAACATCAAATACTCAAATAAACAAATCATTTCTTAAGTAAAAAACAAATCATTTCATAAGTCATTTATTAAAAAAACAATATTAAAAAATACATATGAGATTAAAAAAAAAATTGAACTTTGCAGAAGCTTAAAAAAGATTTCTTTCTCAATCTTTGATCTATATAATTTTTTGATCTTTCTTATCTAAGTTTTAGATTAAAATAACATATAACTTAAAAACTCTAATGAAAATTTTGTAAAACAAAACCGTTTTTCAGAACACTTTGTTTAAAGTGGCGCAAAGTAATAATATTTAAAAATGGCGCAAATAATGAACTTCAAAAATGGCAAGAAGTTGAGTGTAATTGTCATATATTTAAATTTATATTGAATTTTTTTGTCTGTTTAATTGTCATAATGATTTATTTTTCTACTTTTATCATTAGATTTAAATGAAATTTTTCACATTGTGTAAAATAAAAAATACTCTTACAAAAAAATTAAAACATAAAAAAAGTAGTTAAAACAATAAAATGTCACTTTTAAAAGTTTTAAAAAGCTATGTGCCACGGTCATTTTGATTTTAAAAACAATTGGAAACAACTTCTATGGTCATAAGTATTATATCAAACCATAATTTGTTTGAGTGACACAACTTTTATCCTGGCGGTCAAAATGGGGAACAGTGGTGAGCTTTCCAGTTTAAGTCATTTTTGATGGTTATGCTGAGATCAATTTCTGATTGAGTTTTTAATTGTGTAAAATCATATGCCAAATAATGCATTTTGGTAATCATATTTTTACCAAAATGCATTATTTGGCATTTATTTTTGTTAAATTTTATTATTCACTCGTTTGATCATTTATTTAAATTATCTATATCGTTTTGAAGATTTTTATTGTAATCTTGATTCTTTATCACCAAAGTTACTTTGGTGTCATCAGCAAACAGCTTTACAACTTTTTTTAAATCAACACATAAATCATAATAGTGTAGCCTAGAACAGATATTTGGGAAACTCCACTTATTACATTTTTCCTAAAACTACTTGCTGCATTCTATTCCTGAGAAAACCTTTGCACCAATTTAATAGTTTACTTTAAATTCCAATTGCTATTCCGATTACTTCTAATTTCACTAAAACTATAGGTGTGCAACTGAATCAAAGGCTTTTGCAAAATCCACAAAAATAAAATCTATATTTATATAAATATTATTGAAACTAAATATATTAATATATTATATTCTTATATATATTTACTGTATCTATATTCTATTCTATAAGTGAACATCTATATTTAACCCTCTACCAATGCTTTGGTAATCAAGCGTTTCAAGTAACTTTGTTACATAACTTTTAGTGTTTACAAACCCATTTTGCTGAGAAATAGTTAGATTGTTATTTATCAAATAAAGCATTATTTTGTATCATTATTTTTTCCATTATTTTGCACACTATGACATTAAAGAAAATGGTTTTTTGAATTGAGTTTCTTTTTTAGATAGATTTTAACCAAACTGTGGGAAGGTTACCTTTTCCAAACCATTTTTCAAATATTTTCGATAATATTCGAAAAATTCTAAAATCTTGTTCAAAAAAGATTTCACCATTTTTTTTGAACAAGATTTTAAAATTTTTGGATGAACCTTATCAGCTCCAAATGCTTTATTAGTATTTAATTTTTCAAGGTGTTTTTTTATGCTATCAATGCTAATTTTTTATTCTTTACATTCATTGATTTGTTTTACCTTTATTTGCAGTATATATTTTTAGCATCACTAAATCTTTTAATCCAATTTATGGATGTTAAAGTTAAAATTTCCTCATATTATGATGTCTATACATTTATTTTTCAAATATAATTGCACCTATAATAGATTTGATAAGAGATAAATTTTCATGATAATTTTTTCGCTTTTTTATTAGATACATCTAATAAGTATTTTCTCAGTTCAATTTCAACCATACACCATGTGATTATTTCAATCAAATACCATGTGACTATATCAACCATACACCATGTGACTATTTCAACCATACACCATGTGACTATTTCAACCATACACCATGTGACTATTTCAACCATACACATAATGTTTTCAGACAATGGTACATTTGGACATGTTTTTTTTATTTTGTAAAATTTTTTAGTTGATGTAAACACATACACTTCCTCCTTCATTGTATACTCAATTAGGGCTGTTTCAAGTGACTTAAGTAATTGTTTAAACAAATCAAGTACTTAAGTAAATTTTTAATTCTAAAGTTTTTTTTTTTGAATTAAATCAACAGAAAATTGATATTTTTAAGTTGTTCAATTTTCAATTTTGAACTGTAAAATTAAAGTACTTTTAGTTTAAATTCTAATTATTTCTTGGTTTTGTTTTAACATATTTTCCAAAAAAAAGATTATAGTTTATACTATCCAAAAAAAAAAAAAGTTATGTTATAAAAAATTATAGCAGGAGATTTACATTTGTGTACATGAGTGCATTTACATTTTTTTTTTATAATCCTAAAGATCCTAAAGCATCAACAGTTGAATGTAAATGTTAATTGAACTCCAATGTTGAAACTAAAAAATCTTTATGAAAAAAAGAATAAGACTGAACAACTTCAGCATTTCTAGCTCAAAACTTCAATTTAATAAAATTTAAGGCTTACTTAAATGTTTTTGAATGCATCAAAAAAGATATGGCTGAATTTGAAGGATCAAATGACCGTCCAAAAATACTTAAAAAAATGCAGTTTAAAGTACTTTAAAGTACTTTAAAGTACTTAAAGTTTTTATCAGCATCATCCATTGTTACAAAAAGATACTTTAAGTTTTTATCAGCATCATCCATTGTTACAGAAAGATACTTAAAGTTTTTATCAGCATCATCCATTGTTACAGAAAGATACTTAAAGTTTTTATCAGCATCATCCGTTGTTACAGAAAGATACTTAAAGTTTTTATCAGCATCATCCATTGTTAAAGAAAGATACTTTAGTGCTGTTGACTTTTTTTTTATTACAAATTTGAGAACATCTTTGAATGATAAATTGATAGAAATTTTAATTTTTTAGCGTTCTATCTTGAAAGTTTAGTTAGGTTATGACTTGTTATACTTATAAAATATTATATCACAAAAAAATATAATATAAGAGGTAATTTTTCATTGTTTGGAAAATAAAATTCAAACTTTTTTCTCTTCTCTAACAATTTTCTAACAACTTTTTTCTTTACTTTAACAATAGTTCTAAACCCTCTGAAATTATAAGATCCATGTTTATATATACTTTTATTTTTCAAACTTATTTAAATATTTACTTTCTTGTACCAGTTGTTGATCCAATATTGACTCAAAAGCTTACTTTGAAGTCTACAATGCTTTTCTATTTTTTAATACCTAAGTTGAGATTTGAAAAGGCGTCATATAATTGTTGTTTTTCTTCCTCTATTTTTTCTTCTTTTTGAATTTTTAATGATTCATTCAAAACAAAAATGTTGTATTAGTCATTTAATGTTTCATCGAGCATTTTGTTATATTAGTCATTTAATGTTTCATCGAGCATTTTGTTATATTAGTCATTTAATGTTTCATCGAGCATTTTTTTATATTAGTCATTTAATGTTTCATCGAGCATTTTGTTATATTAGTCATTTAATGTTTCATCAAGCATTTTGTTATATTAGTCATTTAATGTTTCATCGAGCATTTTGTTATATTAGTCATTTAATGTTTCATCAAGCATTTTGTTATATTAGTCATTTAATGTTTCATCGAGCATTTTGTTATATTAGTCATTTTGTGTTTCATCAAGCATTTTGTTATATTAGTCATTTAATGTTTCATCAAGCATTTTGTTATATTAGTCATTTAATGTTTCATCAAGCATTTTGTTATATTAGTCATTTAATGTTTCATCAAGCATTTTGTTATATTAGTCATTTAATGTTTCATCGAGCATTTTGTTATATTAGTCATTTAATGTTTCATCAAGCATTTTGTTATATTAGTCATTTAATGTTTCATCAAGCATTTTGTTATATTAGTCATTTAATGTTTCATCAAGCATTTTGTTATATTAGTCATTTAATGTTTCATCAAGCATTTTGTTATATTAGTCATTTAATGTTTCATCAAGCATTTTGTTATATTAGTCATTTAATGTTTCATCAAGCATTTTGTTATATTAGTCATTTAATGTTTCATCGAGCATTTTGTTATATTAGTCATTTAATGTTTCATCAAGCATTTTGTTATATTAGTCATTTAATGTTTCATCAAGCATTTTGTTATATTAGTCATTTAATGTTTCATCGAGCATTTTGTTATATTAGTCATTTAATGTTTCATCAAGCATTTTGTTATATTAGTCATTTAATGTTTCATCAAGCATTTTGTTATATTAGTCATTTAATGTTTCATCAAGCATTTTGTTATATTAGTCATTTAATGTTTCATCAAGCATTTTGTTATATTAGTCATTTAATGTTTCATCGAGCATTTTGTTATATTAGTCATTTAATGTTTCATCAAGCATTTTGTTATATTAGCCATTTAATGTTTCATCGAGCATTTTTTTATATTAGTCATTTAATGTTTCATCAAGCATTTTGTTATATTAGTCATTTAATGTTTCATCAAGCATTTTGTTATATTAGTCATTTAATGTTTCATCGAGCATTTTGTTATATTAGTCATTTAATGTTTCATCAAGCATTTTGTTATATTAGTCATTTAATGTTTCATCAAGCATTTTGTTATATTAGTCATTTAATGTTTCATCAAGCATTTTGTTATATTAGTCATTTAATGTTTCATCGAGCATTTTGTTATATTAGTCATTTAATGTTTCATCGAGCATTTTGTTATATTAGTCATTTAATGTTTCATCTAGCATTTTTTAGTCATTTAGAAGTATTATAGAAGTTCTATAATAATTGATTTTTATTGATTTTCTTTTTATTTAAATTTTTTGTTTTTTGTTTTTTGAATTGTTTTTGTAATTTTTATTTAACTAAAAGTTTGATTTTAATCTTCTAATTTCTTTTTTTTTTTTTTTTTGTTTAGATCTCTGAGAGGAAACATAAAACTAGGAGAAAAAAAAGAAGAATAATTTAATGGTTTATTTTTAAGGTATATTTTTCTAATTTCTTTTTTCTTTTAATTGCGCTTATACTTAGTACTTAAAATAAAATATTGTATTTTTAATTTTTATTTTTATTTCTTAGATAAAAACTTTTTTATACATACTTCCTAAATATCTGGAATCAAAAAATAAAAAATTATCTAGAGATATTTGAATCTTATATGTTTTTTGCTATCCATAAGGGTTATGACCCTGTTGGATTATAACAAAATTATTTAATTTTGTTATAATCCAACATTTATAACAAAATTTTTAAATTTTGTTATAAATGAATGTATTATTTTCTTTTTATTATAGTTGTGGAAATTATATTTTTTCTCTAGAAATCATTTTATTAGAAATGTTATTAGTCAAAGTTATTAGATCTCATTTTTTTTCATTTTTAATTTTTGTAAATTTTACTCATTTTTAATAATTTTTGTTTTATAGTAAAATGGCTAATATTCTAAAGTTAATAATTAATAATTGTAAAACACCATAATTAAGCATCTAATGTTTCTATACCATGATTGATATGATTTGAACAATTTTAAATTTTCTCAAAAACAATGGTTAACTTTATTAATGATATCATTTTTTTAAATTATGCATTCATAATTAACTCAATCTTATATCATTTAAGTAATTCTATTTTTTGTAAAGTACCCGCCATCATTTTCATAATATCAATTTGTGTCACATGTTTTACTAATTCTTGGAATTTTTTAAAACTACTTGCATATTCTTTTTTTCTCTACACAATTTCTCAGTAAGATTTGATGACTTGTTCAGTACATTACTGTGGAATACTATCCTTTGAAATATCATTAACTCTTTTTTACTTATATATTGTTTGTTTGCTTGGATTCTCACTAAAGTGATTCTATTTTTTCTTGTAATATGTTTTAAGATTTTTCTTATTACTATTTGAACAAAAAATCTTCTGTGTTTTAATTTTCTAGCTTAATCTTATTGAATTAAGTTGAATTTAAACCTTGAAACTCCTACTTGAAACTCCTAATTCAAACCTTGGAATTCTCAATTCAAACATGAAAACTCCTAATTTAAACCTGGAAACTCTCAATTCAAATCTAGAAACTTTTAATTCAAACCTGGAAACTCTCAATTCAAACATGAAAACTCTTAATTTAAACCTGGAAACTCTCAATTCAAATCTGGAAACTCTCAATTCAAACCTGGAAACTCTCAATTCAAACCTAGAAACTCTCAATTCAAACCTGGAAACTCTCAAATGCAAACCTGGAAACTCTCAATTCAAACCTGGAAACTCTCAATTCAAACCTGGAAACTCTCAATTCAAACCTGGAAACTCCCAATTTAAACCTGGAAACTCTCAATTTAAACCTGGAAACTCTCAATTCAAATCTGGAAACTCTCAATTCAAACCTGGAAACTCTCAATTCAAAACTGGAAACTCTCAATTCAAAACTGGAAACTCCTAATTTATACCTGGAAACTCCCAATTTAAATCTGTAAACACTCAATTAAAACCTTTTTTTTTTGCAATAAATCTTGATTTCTCCTTCTTAGTTTTCTGTTTTTAGTTTTGCGTTTCTTATATAATTTTTTGACAACTCTAACATTTGATTTACGAACTTTATGTGCTTTTAAAGTTCGATTTTTGTTGTCATTTTTTTTAATGATTTTTAGACTTATTACTTAAAATTCTTAAATCAGATGTGAATAAAACTACATCCACAGCAAAATTAGTTACGAGAACAAGAAAATTTAAAGTGCGCCACATGTGCATATAGCATAATGGCATAAATGTGGGTTGTCTGTGGTTATGGTATTTATACCACTTAAGTGGTAGCTCCATATGGCCCTCATGTGGCTATAATACTTATACCACTTAAATGTTATAAATACTATAACCAAGCATGCCCACATTTATCTGTGGCTCGCATAAAATTTTTTTGTCAGTTGGGCATTATTTAAAAATAAAATTAGTAGAGTTAGTTTGGTAGTTTTTGAGAGAATTAAATTTAAAATTTTCTAAATTTCAACCAATCACTATGGCAGAATAGTGTTAGTATCTATAATAGTAGAATAGTTCTCTATGGTAGACAATTGGTAAATAACAAAAGAACAAAACAAAAAAAGTTACTTGGTCTCATTTGCAGTGCAAATATTATTTTAAACAAATTTTTCTTGTTACTATTGTCATTAGCTTAACAAAAAACTTGTCTAACATATAGGTAACATATAGCTAGGTCATTCCATATAAAATCATTAATTAAAAGGTATCACTTAAGGTTGTAAATGAAGAAACCAAACTTATTTATGTATCATGCGATTTATGCAATTTATGTATCATGCGATTATATATTATCATACATAATCTTATATTTTTCTAAGACACATACCAGAAAAAATCTGCGCGTGTTCTGATGTGGTGTTTACGGAAACCGTGCATCACTTTAAATAGCTAATTGTTTTAAAATGTCATTGTATTAATGTTATTCAAAATTTAAACAACACTGTTATCAAAACAAGTAGTTTTAATTGAAATGTCATCAAGTCAATATAAGAAGCGAGAAAAAATTATCTATTTTCTCGTTGAAAATTCTGGTGTATCAGACAAAACAATTTCTAAAGAGTTGCAGATTGCTTTGAGAACAGTGCAAAGCGTTGTGAAACGATTTGAGGACACTGGTACAATCAAAAGGAAATCAGGAAGTGAAAGAAAAAATGTTTTGTTAGACGAGATGTTGGTAAAAAAGTGAAAGATGTCTTAGACAGAAAACCGGAGATTTCTGTTCGAACTTTAACGAATAAATTTAAGACAAGTACTTCCACTATACAAAGAATGAAGAGAAATTGTGGCTATAAATCTCACAAAAAGAAAAAAGTTCCTCGTCGTGAAGAAAAGCAAGAAAATGTTGCAATTCGTTGTTTAAAGCTGCTCTATAAAAAATTATGAAGAAGCAAGAAAAAATATAATCTTGTTTGATTATTAATGATAAACTTATTGTACTGCATATTTCCGATCTCTTTCAGGAAACCAATATTATTCAGCAATTAATCGCAAGAAACTGAATTCCAATTGTAAATGCATTGGAATGCAAAAAATCACTAAAAAATTCTTAGTTCGGAAAGCGATTTGTGAATGTATTAAAAAAATCTTGTTTTGTAACTACATAAACAATTAACACCAAAATATACATAAAAGAATGCCTCAAGAAACGTCTTTTGCTGTTTTTAAGAACACACACGGGTAACTCGTTATTTTGTTACGATTTAGCATCATGTCACTACTCTAGGACAACTTTAAACTGGCTAAGAGAACATATAGTAGATTTCGTTGAAAAACACTGCAATCCATCAAATTGTCCTGAACTAATATATCCAATATCCCGAAAGATATTTGGCTCTTATCAAAAGAAAACTAAGGTTCATTGTAAAAGAAGCCAAAAACATTAAAGGCTTCAAAAATAAATGGATTAGAGTTACCAAGAAAATCCAGCCGAGTGTAAAACGCAAAGTGCATGCATCACGTACAAAACTTCACAAACTTTCTTAAATGAAATTCAAGAATATTAATATATTTATTATCAAAATATTTATAACATTCAATATCGAAATACAATAGTTAAATAAATATCCTTTAAATTGTCCGCACAGATTTTTTCTGGTACATGTCTTATACATTTTATATAGTTAGAAGATTAATGTAAAACACTTTATATTAAATAATTATATTTAAGTTAGTAGTTTTTTTAATAAAAAATGTTTTTTTTAGAGTGATTAACGAAAATTTTGAATTAAAGAAGTATATTTTGTTTATATATATGTGTGTGTATATATATATATATATATATATATATATATATATATATATATATATATATATATATATATATATATATATATATATATATATATATATATATATATATATATATATATATATATATATATGTATTGATTTTTTTATTTCTATATTTTGGGTTGTACATATAAAATTATATTTTGTTATATATTATTCGTTTAAAAATGTTTAAAATCAATTTTTTTTAATTTTGGTATATATTTTTTAAGCCATGCATTCCTTTTTTTTAATATTGTTAAATATTTTTATTATTTAAAGGTTTTTTATTGACAAAGTTTTATTTATTTTTATGTTACTTTTACGCGAGTAATTTTTATTAGTTTAGATTTATCTAATGTATGATCTATGTTGTAAAATATGTTTTCAATTTTTTTTTACTACTTTTAATATTCTTTTTTTTTTTTACATTTAGTGGTAGAAGTTATTTTTATTAATTTTCGCTAGTATTTTGAGCTTCAAGCTTTTTTTTTAAAAAAAATTTTTTTTCCAATTACTGCTATTGAATAATTTTTTAAGTTACTTTTAAACAAATTTAAGTTATTTCTAACAATTCTAAATTAGTTTAAAAAAAAGTTTCTTAAAAGTATTTTTAGCTTTTATTATATAAATGACGTACTTTATTGATTTATTTTAACAATAATTTGAAAAAATATATTATATTTTTCTCTGTGTATTTATAACTTTCCTCAGAAAATAAGAGAATATTGTAAATGCAAAAGAAAATACAAACTACCAGTATGAAAAACTTCTGATAATGATTGTATAAGCTGTAAAAAATTACCAACGTTGTGAGTTTAATAATTCAGTTCGATGCCTGCTCCGGCCATATAAGTGACACCGGTAAGAAAAGTGTCGCAAGCTTCCTTGTTTAATACATTTCCGCGTAGCTCTGTGACAAGAGGTACTTTATTTGTGTCTCTCGGCACAAAAGATGGCGAAGGAAGCCAACAACAAAAGATAGTGAATAGAGCAAAGATTACTTTTTTCTATAACAACTCAACATAAAAACATATAAAAACAACCCTTTTTACAGCTTGTATTTTATACAAATATACAACTGTTTATATTAATATACAATTGTTTTTGCTAAATACTAAAAACCTAAAGTTCATTGTGCCCTGTGATAAGGCTGTTAGGTCTTCTTTGAGTACCTTAATAACAAAAATAAATAAATAATTTATTAGATTAGAAGAAGACGACTTCAATCTTTAAAAAATTCAAACTGCAAAGTAGCAAAAGAATTACTTCGTGACCTGTCCTTAAAAGCTAAGTTACTGTTTATTTTGTCAAACTATGGGTTTCTTGAATTAACAATTGCAAAACTGGAATCTAGCTATATGCAAATCGAACCATTTAATGATCCACAAAAATCTGGTCATCGTGAACCTTTGTGACCTTTGTAGATTTTTTATTGTTCCAACTAACCTTAAAAATAGCTCATATCTTAGCAATAAAGTTGTATATTTCATATCTCATTATAAATAGATAAAAGTGTTGCCAAGGAAAACGTATTATATTCCAGTCATTTAGATTTATTAATTTTAATATCATAAAATTTGCGGGAAACTCGGGCTTAATTTTATAGTTATCCATACTACAAAAACAAAAGAGCTAAGCCCCTCTGAAAACTTTTATGCTGTAAGACTTAATATATTTTAAATTAAAAGACTCCTAAATTAAAAGTACTAGCTTCTTGTTTCTTTTTTAAGTCGTGAAATAGTTTAAAAATACCTAAAGTTGTTAAATGCAGAATATATTTTTGCTAAAAAATAATTAACAAAGATTACTAATAAAGAGCCGTAATTTTGTTTACCAAATATGTTGTACATTATTTTTACTGGTACTATTAATCTTGTACAAGGAATCTTTCACTTCGTTGCATAGTGAATTTGTGAATCTATTTGGGAATTATTTGGTTAAAACTAAAATTTTTGATTATTAAATTTTATTATTTTAGTTACTCATAATTAAAGTTTAGTTACTCATAATTAAAGTACACATACTGGTCACGTGACATACTGGTTATGTGAGATGCTCACATAGTATTTCTATTAATCAGCCTTTTTAATTCTGGTCACATGACATTGTAGTCATGTAAGATGCTCACCTAGTATTTTTATTAATCATCCCTTTTAAACGTAACAATCACTTTTTTAATAATGCTGTCACAAACATCACTGTTTAAAACAGCATTATAGCTTTTTAATTTTTCTCCGGTATAAGGCTGTTAACTTCATAGAAAATTAGTTTACAATAAAATGTTAACTTTATAAAACTTACTACTGAAATAATAAAGTTAAGTACTTAAAATGCAAATGATAAAAGAAATATACTGTTATGTCTCAAATTGATTTTTATGTTATACAATGTGATTTAAAAGACTTATACTTAGTTGTATAAAGACCGTCCGTAGGGTTTGCGGTGACGGAGGCCAATGTAGTTACGGCACCCCTCCCTCCAGTAATAGTTGCGTTTATAAGCTTTTTGTGCTACCACCAATGTTTAATACTTACATCACCTACCAATATATCATATATACATTCGATTCAAAGAATGTAGTGAGTTATGTTCGGGCTATAAATAGATCTGGGTTGTAGATGGATCCTATATGGTGTAAAGATGTCGCCCCACCTCTCTTTTTTAAGGCATATTCTTCCTCTCTTTCAAGTGCCTCTAAAATTTCTTTTTAAATTATAGCGAAGTGGTTTAACACAGTTTGTTCTACTTTCCCATCTGGTATATGATTGTGGTTTAACAGAAACCGCCACGCACAATTTTAAAACTTCCCATTGAGGAGGAGACAATGAAAAGAGTGAATATAGTGTATAAAGTGTATAACCTTAAAAGAACATCAAAAAAGGAAATTGCACTGATGGATGACAGTGTACCATCAACAATAACAAGATTGATTAAATGGTTTGCACAAGGAACATATATGGCCTTAGGATTTGTTTCCAGAAACTTGCTTGAACACCTTTCGTTTTTCCGAAACACTTCCAGAACTGCTGGTTTAAAAAAATGTGTTAGTTTGGGGTAATTTGTGATTTCCTCTCTGGCTGCAACTTTTTCTTCTCTTTTAGTGGCACCAATTTTCACTTTTTTCATAATTATATACCAATAATTTCATCTTGAAAAACTAACGAAAGATATTTTTATCATAAAAAACAAACCTTCTTTCGTTGTTTGTTTTTTATGGTAAAAAAACTTACAAGGCATAATAATAATAAAAAAATCAAATCAAAATTGCAAGTTAAAAGTCCATATCGATGTGACAATATTCCATGTTGTCACATCGTGACATTTGACTTTTTTTTTTTTTTTTTTTGGGGGGGGGGAAACATCAGAATTAAGCGCATTTAAAATTAAAAATTTAAAAATTAAAGATACTAAAAATTTTTCATATACATTACAGTTTCTAAAAACAAAATTATTTAATATTTTATAGACTTTTTGGTATACGCATTAAAAGGTCGCGTCATGACGTGACAAAAATTATGTAGCATTTTCTTTCTTTAGAAGGAATGACAGTAGTTCAGCTCTTGTGGATATTTTGAAATATTTTTTGTTATGTCTTGAATACTTAAAAGGTGTTATAATAGTTTCATAACATTTTTAAAATGTTTTATAAATTTAAATAGGGACACCACATAAATATATCAACGGAGTTTACGTCACACCGTGACGTCACGGTGTGACCAGTACAAAATCTTTGAATATTAAGGCAATAACATCATCAAAAAGACAATTGAAACTAAAGAAACCAATGTATTCGAATTTTATAAGATTGGTATAACAATAACGTTTAACAAAACATTTTTTTTACAATGATTTCAAAAAAAGTCTAGTAAAATTCAACTCCGTTTTTTTATTTAACTTCATCTAGTTAACTATGTATGATGAACACTTGAACAAGGTTTCGTTTCCATTTTATCATTAAACTCTTTTAAACAATGGGCACTAAATATTCCAGCCGTTTTACAAGCATTATTTTTGATGTTTTCACGTTCTGTGCCATCAAAAGCAGTTTTAATTTTTACAGCAGCAACCATGAAAACGTTTACTTGACTTTCATCTCTGAGGGCTTTATAAAATGTGGTTGCATCATTAATGAGAGCTTCTCTTCGAACAATTTTTTGTGTTGCTAATCTTTTTATGGTTGCTCCTATACTATTGCATGGTCCTTTACCATGAGAGGTTGCAAAGTAATTCCAGCAAATTTTAATTTTGCGCTTGCTTTCAAGCCATAGAATTGAAGCTACTATGTAACAATTTTTAAATTGACTGCTAGGACCATCAGACCAAACTTGCAAGTATTTTACATCCTTTCTAATAAGGTTAGTTATTAACAAGTCTATAAATTAAATAACTGAACTTCTTGAATTGTTCAAATCATCAGAAATAATAACGGCAGATTTACAAAAGTCACCATGCCAGCTAACAGCAGTAAATAATGTTACTATTTTTTTGTTAAAATGTGCTGACTTCATCCTGCCAGAAAATTGAGAAGTTTTCTGCAAAGTCAACTTGTAACAAAACTGAATCAAGATTGCTTTTTAAAAATTTTTTTTTGTTTTCATAACTCATTAATTTATATAATATAAGTTTAATCATCAAATCCTAAAATTTTTCAAAAACCAGTTCAACATGTTACATGTTTTTAGAAACTACCTTTTACATGTTTTTAGAAAAACCTTTAACTTTTGAATGATACATTTAGTTTTTTATTTTCTAGGATTTGAAATTTACATTAAACTTTTTGTATAACGTGGAATTACCCATATGATTATGGACTTATAATCATATGGACTTTAAAATAAACAAATGTAAAGCGTTACAGTTTTCCGATCCAAAATATTATTGCTTTTTTTACGCTTGCATAATTTAGATAATATCGTAATTAAAAGGTTAAGTTTTTTTTATTAATAGTAGCAGTAACAATATACAGTTAAA